AATAAAGTCAATATTCTACCAAGAGCTTCACAGTAACAGGTAGGGAAGCAGGTGGCTGAGAACCAGCGCCAGTGTCGGCTCAAGCTGATGAAGTCACCAATACCTCTGGGACTTGTGGTGGCAAAGCGACCTGCTCATCAGAGATGTCAAACTTGATGCTAAGAAAAGACATTCTCATTTACATCCACGCAGTGGGGTTGTGGGGGCACAAACCAGAATACAATCTGCTGGCCTCTGGGCTAGCTTTGGAAAAACAGTCATTGATTTTGCATAACTTACTTTTAGGGACCTGGCTTAAGCCAATCTGGGAGCCTGGTTTGAAGGATTCAAGCCTTAAAACCCTGGTTTGGCTGGCAGTAGTTTCTCCCAAATCTGTACCACCCAGTTGACTGGAGTCCATCAGCCCAGTAGGATCAAGGTGTGGATCAGAACTACATGATGGGGAAGAAGAGAGTTGGCCCTTGCTTTAAATCCTTGCCTAGATGGGAGAGGTTCCCTTCAGCTTTCTCAGAAACACAGTAATGTAATAAAAATAAATCCTACCTGGTCCTCCTGGCTATATATTGCCCACACAAGACAATTTTGGCCTCCACAACTTTGGCACCCTTTAGAGGCACAAGCGTACTGTTAAGAAGGATGCCAAGCTCTTACCTCTCCATCTCCAAGTGCTGTGAGGAGGCTTGGCTCTCCAGCCCCATCCCACAGTTGTGAGCAGGTGATACCCTGAGGGTTCTCATCAGAAAAGCTGCAGAAGACTGGCTTCCAGCAGTGCCCTGCCCCCTCAGGCTGACCTCCCCACCCCCGGATACTGCACACATAAGGCGAGCAGAGTTTGTCTCCATCCCTCCCCTTTCCCAAAGGACTCTCCCCCAGGAGTGGGCAGCAGACCCACTCAGCTCTCCTCTTCCCTCTTCATGGGGGCCAGTGCTCTCTGTTCAGTGTGGTGGGGCCCACTGCCGGTCCTTGTGGCCTCCCCCTGTTTTGCGCAGGGAGCAGTTCCTTCCCGTGCATGGATTTTCTGGTGCCTCCTCAGGTACTTCTTCAGCCGGTAGCGCTTCCCACAGACCCCACACTTGTAGGCCCCACCTCGGGAGTGGAGCAGCTGGTGTTTAATCAGGTGGCGCTTCTGGGGGAAACATTTCCCACACTTGGTGCACTTGCAAGGCCCCATGCGGACATGGATTGTTTGGTGACGGAAGAGGTTGGCCTTCTGGTTGAAGGTCTTCTCGCACTCAGGGCACTGGTAGGGCTCCTCCTTGGTGTGGATCCTCTGATGCCGAACTAGATTCGACCTCTGGGTGAAGCTCTTCCCGCACTCGGTGCATTTGAAGGGCTCGCTCATGTGGACTCGCTGGTGGCGGATCAGCTTGCGGTTCATGCGGAAGCTCTCCCCGCACTCGCTGCACTTGTACGGCCCCTCGCTCGTGTGAATCTTCCTGTGTCTGGTCAGGTTTGATTTCTGATTGAAACTCTTCCCGCACTCGGGACAGGGGAATATCCGTTCACCCTTGGGAGCTCCTTTTGCTGAGGGATCTTTCTTGGACATGGATTTCTCCTGGTTCTCCAGCATCCCCTCTTTGGTGGGCTGATAGCATTTCTCCTGTTTCCTCTTTGGGCTCTGGCTCTCCTGGTGGTTGGCCTCCACACCAGGTTCCTCTTTAATGTGGATCCTCTGGGTAGCACTGAGTTTCGGCTTCTGTTCATAATACGTCCCAAACTCAATGCTTTCTTGTGGTTCTTCCTTCACATGGAGCAGCCCGTTGCTGACTTCCCGTTCATGCTGCCCATCAGCATCTTCTTCCTTTTTAAGCTGTCTCCCCTGTAAAGCCATCAGTGGGATCTTTGGATCAAAGAGCTTTCCATAGTCTGGGTTTTCTGGTGGCTCTTCCTTGATGTAAAGTTTCTGGCAGGCTATTGCAGTAATGTTTGCTGTGTCATCAGTGGGTGGGTCTGGTTCCTCCTTCATTTGGATTTTCCAAGGAGGGCTTTTTGGATTAGATGGGTTTCTAGGTATGCTACACCCCTGGGCTACATCTCCTTCATGGGACATACTGTCCAACATATTCTCCTCTGACCTGAAGGCAAAATCAGGCTCCTCTTTAATCTGGATGACCTGGAGAGACACACCATTGATGTGTCCCTCGAACGGCTTTTGCTTAGCATGGTTCCTCTGGTGGATGTTGAAATACCTCTTGGTGCTCAAGCTCTTCCCACACTCCGTACAAATGAAAGGGCCACCGCGGAGGTGTATCTTCTGGTGGGCCAGCAGTGTGGCACTTTGCCCAAAGCACCTACTGCAGTCAGGGCATTTGAAGGGCTTCTCCCTCTTGTGGATCTCCTTGTGGGCAGTGAGGGTCCCCTTCTTCACAAAGCTCTTCCCACACTCAGTGCAGGCGAATGGCCTCTTCTCCGTGTGTGTCCGCATGTGGATATTGAAGTAGATCTTTGTGCTCAGGCTCTTGCCGCAGCGGGCGCAGAGGTAGGGACCACCCTTGGCGTGTGTCTTCTGGTGGGCGGCCAGGCATATCTCCAGGCGGAAGCAGCGCCCACACTCCCCACAGCAGAAGGGCCTCTCTCCTGTGTGGATGCTCTGGTGGGTCGTGAGGTGGCCCCGGGTGGTGAAACGCCTCCCACACTCCCCGCAAGTGAAGAGCTCCTCTGCCGTGTGGATCCGCTGGTGTCTCTTCAGGTTTCCCTTCTTGCTGAAGGATTTGCCACACTCCTGGCATGGGTGTGTCTTTAGCACCGCGCGCTTAACCAAGTCCTTCATGGCAGCAGCGCCCTGCGCCCAGCCGTGCGTGACGGGGCTGCCAAGCAGCCAGCAGGTACGAAAAAGCCAGAATGTTATGGACTGTCTGGGAGGATATGAAAACCATCAGGACACACACATCAAAGTGTACTTTAATGGATGCACTTTATTCCCCACAGGGGAAAGGGTGCTGCTGCTGTATGCCAGGCCAACAAGGAGTGTGTGGTCTTCCTCGTTTCTCAGCCTCCTTCCACCTCAGCTTGCAGATGCAATGTTTGTAACTCCATATCCTGCCTCCTCTGATCTCCTGGAGAGGCTTCCCTGGCTTTTCTGGAGACTCGGATTGCCAGACTGAAAAAATAAAGGGAAAATTATTAAGGCATTATTTCTTCTCCACCTCCTGCGTTCCCTATGTAAACACAACGGGTGGCACCTTGGCTGCTCCATGGGAGACTGAACCTGAGACCTTTGAAGCCATGGGCTCAGCTGGACTCCAGCAGAGAGCAGGATTTTCCGCTAATTTAGAGAGCTAATTTCCCCTGGCAATGGGGGATCTGTGATGCACTCGCTGCTGCAATGACACTGAGGTTTCAGCTCTACTATTGCAGTACTAGTGATTTACTCTCAGAATAGTCCTCTGTCCTTTGACCAAGAAGATTTATAAGTAAATAAGTTAATTAATTAAGGTACTTTGAGGTAATTCTTGTAATTAGTCCCATTTTTGAGGAGTGACTGTGCAGCAACCAAAATCCCCCAAACCTAGAAGAAAACCAAACTGAGCACCATTTGCAAACTCTGATGTGCTGCTTTGTACTGGCAGACCTCCATGCACAGGAGAACACAGGTCAGTGGTGTCCTCAGTGGGCAGCTGGAGAAGTGAGACATGGAAACCTTAAGTGACTTTGTCCTTTTCGAGAGGGTTCAACTGACAGCAGGGTCTGGGTCCTACGTATTTCCATTAGGAAAAAAAAAAATCAGGGCTAACAGAAATGTGAGAAACATCTTCCGTCAAGACTGAATTGCAGGAGGGAAAAGAGCCAGAAAGACTGAGGGGAGGAAGGCAGTGGTGCTGGAGATGACTGTCAACAAGAGTATATGTGGCTGGGCAGGCTTTTACTGATGGTGCTGATGGCTGAAGGTGCTGCTGCCAAAATCACCAGTTATGGGGCAGGCTGCCAGCAAGGACATGGGTTGTCAATGAAATCTGTCCCTGGAGGTCTGGGTCGCTGGGAAGGCTGTGGCTGAGAAGACGAGTCCCTGGGGAGCCTGTCACCAAGCTGTAGGGTGCTGGGGAGCGGGGATGCCATGGATCAGGGGACAAGTGATAGGAGATGTGGAGTATAAACATCCAAGCACAACTGCGATGCAGAGTTGGCAGCTACACGCTCCTCAGAGGAGAGAGGTCAGAGTGGTAAATGAAGTGGGCAGCTATGTCAGATTTCAGAGGACAGTTATAACAGGGAAAGTTACTTCAGATTTAGTCGTGTCGCTTGTGTTTCCCCTTCAGCTATCCCGTCTGGATCCCCACTGATGCTGGTAAAAGCCACCACTGAAGCACAACGGTGCTCCTGTCCAAGCCGAATTCTCCGTGCTGGTACAGAGGAACCACAGGAAAACAAAACCAAAAAATAACTACCTGCAAAATTATACTGAGCCAGGAGAGGCAAAACACACCCACTTGGAGCAGGAACCAGGTTTAATGTTTGCTCGTGGAGGGGAAACTCCAAGGGGGACCAGGCCCCCTCCCTAGGTCCGGGTGCAGCTATATGACACCTACAACAGGTTTTAATTCAGCAGACAAAGCCTCAGCAGCAGCCAGGCTGGAAAGAGGACTCAGAAAAGTTCATTAGTGTATTTTTACCGAGGATGGTCATTAACCCCTTGAGCGGGTAGCAGATTTAGCTTCCCACCACCAAGGACCCTCCTGTCACATCTGGCTGATGCTGAGGGGACATGCTCAGCCACAGCCACAGGTGGAGCGGGCGCCGGTCTCGCTGCGGTGTCCACGGCCTCTCTCCTCGCCATGGATGCTCGCGCCGGTCCCTTAGAGGAAACATCTCACCGGCAGCAGCGTTTCAATTGCCTCTGGGTTTTGGCAAAAAGCAACAAATCCCTGAATTCAGATCAGGGTAAAAGAAGAAATTCTTGCCTACTTTCTTGCTTACTCCCCCCCACCGCCCCGTATCCAGATCCTACAGATCCAAATCTTGCCATTACTTCCAGCTCCGCAATCCCCCGGTCTCAGGGTTTGAATCAAGGGCAGAACCAGATCCCAGGGAGTTGCTTCGTCTTTTATTTGGGCTACCCGGACAAATGAAGGGCGGTTGGCCAAAAGCATCTTACCTGAGCGGGCCATCAATCTCTGGCTGGCATTCCTCTTCTCCGGGGCAGTCTCAGTGGCACAACAGTGTTTGCGACTTGGCTGCAAGTTGTGTTGCAGCCGCAGCTGGGCTGACCTAAAGGAAGTCTGTGGCCAGTGCAGTGAGAGCTACCGGAGGAAGGGTGAAGCGAAACAAAGACAAAGAGCAAAGGTTGAAGGAGCAGGGGGAGGACAGGGGAGATGCTCTCGACTCGCCTCGCCAGGAGGGATTTTCACGCCACCGCCAAGGTGTTAGCGGGAGCACGGGGAGGGAGAGGAGGGGAATTTCTCCCTGATATGCCTTTCTTCTGCACTGCTATATTGGTGGGAAGCTGGAAGGGTCCCCGGCTCGCACTGCCTTATGGGAATTGTAGTTCTTCCCAGCAGCTCTGGTCCCCCATCCTGCACTCTCTGCCCTGGCAGCCAGTGGGTCAGGATCAGGCTGTTTCTCTCTTGCCCCAGCTGAGAGTGTTTGCTTTTTTTTTGCTGGGGGAAGGAAAACATCCCACAGTGCTGCAAGCATCCTTCTTCCCTCCCAGGCTGATTGTCTGGGACTTGCTCCAGGAAGCATCAGGAGAGGAAAGGTGCATTTCAGGGAGTATTTCTGTGTCCGTAGCAGCTTGAGATCCCCCTGGGGGGAGGTAGCAACTGGGTCTGGTGCCTAGTTACCAGCAAAGGATCCTTTTTAATGCTCAGTGAAAGCACAAAAGAAGTGTGCAAATTTGACAAGGGTGGACACTGAGGCATATGGACTTGATTTGGCAGAGTGATCAGCACCACCTGGGAGAGGCTGAGCCACAACAGGACCTCACAGAAAGCGCCCAGACCTTCCTGGATCTGCCCTGCACAATGAGG